CTGCCATATCAAGACCAAGGAACCGCATCAAATCATGCCAGGCATGCCTTCCATAGGATTGATGACGTTCCTCTGTTGGACTTGGTTCTGTACCATCTGCCCTTGGTTCATCTGAGGCATGGGCGGCGGCACCTGTTGAAGGTGTTGGTGTTGTTGAACCTGATGCTGGTGCTGGTGCTGCTGTTGCATCTGCGCGGGCGTAGGCGTGCTTGTGACGGATGCCGACGAAGTTTGAGGCGTGATTGGAGTCTGCTGCGGCATTGGAGGTGCTTGCTGGGGTTGTTGAGGCTCAACCTTTGGCTTGGCCATCTGCGATGCTGCAAGGTTGCGGTTGTGATTGCTCTCACGCCGACGCTTTGGCGCATCCTTGATCTTGGGATGGGTGTGACACTACATTACTGTTAGCCTGCTGTGCAACGATAAAAGACCCTTCACGATCGATGCCGTGTCACATACCTTGTACGCGTGCCTGAACCATGTGGTGCCTTTCTTCTTGCTGCTGACGAGCGCAATCCAATCGTTGCAGCTACCGCACAAACCTTCCCATACATCTGGGTTCCCGTCCATTCGTCGCGTCTCTTGAGGCTCTTGGAATGGGTTGCCCGTGGCGGCGCTGATACCGTGAGTGAACGACTTGTCGTACCAGAAGGCCGAGTTCTTCAGCACCAGCCAGCGGCCCGGCTTGCAGATTCCACACCATCCCTCGCGCTTGTTACCGTGACCTCTCACCCATCTCGGCGTGTACAGGTCGCCCTCGAACCGCAACTCTTGCTCGTGGGGAACAAGATCGGGGTCAGACGGGTTCATGTCCTCGGGAGGCGGTGGGATCTGCTCCTCGTGAAGTGAAGCGTAAAGATCGGGCGGGTCGGACAGATCCGTGTAGTGGCTGTGAAGCGAGTGAGGATCGGCGTTGCTCTGGAGCATGCGGAAGAGGCCATGGGACAGAAGCGGCGGCGGGGCCTCAAAGTGATGAGCATCGGGATGGAAGCCATTGGATGGCAATTGCGACGGCAAAAGCATACTGTTCATGCTGTTTCTCTGATACTGCGGCGGGGCGGCCATCATGAAGGGATGCTGCTGGGCGGCCTGGAGATTGGTGAAGTTCAATGGGACCTGCTGGTGCTGGATCGTCGGCGATGAGTGTCTCGAAGACATGCGCTGGTGGGCACCAAATGCATCGTGCCCCTGATGAAACACGAACGGTGTCTGACGTCTGTTCTGTTGAGTTCCGTACGATCCCGTAGACCATCTCTTTGTCGTTCCACGCTCGACGCTGTAGGGAGCAGATCGCATGCCTGGGCGAGGCGAAGGGGAAGCACGACCGCGGCTTTGAGTCCTAACAAGTTCAGATCGGCTTTGGGGAGTCATCCGAGGAGACGCAACCGGGGACAATTGGGTTGACGACATCAATGAGTTGCGGTTAGACGGCGGCGGGTAGTCTGAACTGAATGATGGCGCCTCTGACAAAGCAGCCGAGAAGTCTTCGTACGAAGGCATGTCCGAAAGGGCACCGGACGTAGACATGGTGAAAGATGAGCCTGACATGCGTCGCGGGTTGGGGCCACAGTCAAAGTTGAACGGTTCGTTGTCCTGTTGCTGGTACCTCAGATCAAGCACAGGAATGGCCTCATCGGTGGTGTATGCCTGGCCAATCATCTCCGTATCCAATCCATGGAACTCAAAAGTGTCTTCACACGGCTTTTGTTGCCAGTCTTGTAGAAATGATTAGCAAAAGAGTTAACCTCTGATGAGGTTGACTCACTGTTCTCCATGGTGGTGACGGGGTAGAAGTCTTGTTGATGAACTGATACCGGTCGGGACATGGCATCGCTGGGAGTCTGCTGCATCGGCAGTGGCGAAGAGTCCCACGATGGGAGGGTGCCATAGTCATCGCCCATGCTGTAGGAGAAGCCTTCGTGGATGGTCGCGGGTCTGGGCCTCATGCCTTGAGACGTTGGAGTTGTCCATACACCAGCGGGTGCTCCCACGCCCTCTTGCTTGATGGGCATATCATTACCGTTCATGTTGATGATGGTCGTTGTACGAGGCGGGACGTCTCTTCTGAACTTGTTGTTGGGGTTGAAGGTGAAGGAAGGTGTGTGTATTTGTTGCCGACTAAATTGTACTTGTAAGTCATGTATGCCGGAAGCTGCAGGGACGGGATGGGGCCTACAGCTGTGCCTGACCAGAGTCCATGGTGCTTAGACAGGAACAAGGGAGCGTGCGGTTAATCAATTATCGGGTTGATGCTGAACGGGGACGGTGGGTTGTTAGCATTGATCCTCGGACGAGGGACATCAAGGGTGGCAGTTGTATCTGACGGCAGTCGGGGGTGAGGGGGATCCACACTGCCCACGTATCGACGAGCGCGATCCGGCAGGCCGACAGAGAAGGGCTTCCAGGAACTTACTTGGAAGAATCTGGCGCAGTGGCCAACCTGAGCGGAGAGAGACAAATAATCTCCGGACCCGACGAGTAATGGATGGCGACGTGAGTGGTTATGTTTGTTGGGGCCAGGGGACGCGTAGATTTTTCCTTTCCCTTCTTGGCTCCTTTCTCTTTCTGCTTCCTCTTGCTCCCTTTTCCGGTCTCCTTCCCTCGGGGACGGGTGGACGATGATGAGCGTTAAGGACAGCGGGTCCTCGCGATGAGGCTAGTGGTGGTGTATAGATGGCAGGCGGTAGGGATTCCCGTCCTCAGCTAGACAGCGCTGTTGAGGATCTTTTGTAATAAGAGTTTGTGTCGGGTACTCTGTATTTATATTGTATGTATGTATGCGAACGACCCTCAAAGGCAGTAAAGGAGCGTGGTGAGTTTGCAATAATCGGCAACCTCGTTTGGTGCTTTGATGGCTGAAGGTGTGTGTGTGTGTGTGTGTGTGTGTGTGTGTGTGTTGGAGCACGCAGCTGGCCGTCCTGGTTCCTGGCGGGATGAAGAGAGCCAGCTCCCGGAGAGTAGGTATTATAGATGCGAAGAGGCAGCCCCCTCGAAAAAGGAAAAAAAGTATTATAGGTTACAAGGCTCGAAAAAAGGAGTGACTAGCAGAGAATCAAGGGCAGTGAGGCCTTGGTAAGTGGGACGCGAAAGGAGAGCAAAAAAGAAGACAGGTCGAGGGGCGGTGCAGACGGATCCTGGAGGTATAAAAGAAGTAGTGCGGAAAAAGAAGCATCATCCATGAACGGACCAATAAGTCAGCACGGTCAGGTTCGGAACGTCGGTTGGAGCTAAGCCGGATTTCCCTGATACAAACCTCTTCCTGTCTGTGAACTTGGGGCCAGAGGCAGGTGTGCGAGAATCTGGCTTGGCCTGGCTCAGCAAGAGGACAAGAATTGCAGGGGGGTTCTTATGGTGGTGGACAAGGTAACATCTGTTCGTCGATGTGGATGTGTGGGAGTAAGATGCCGATGAACCAGGGAGCAGCCTACTCCCGACTGCTTTTGGAAGACGGGGACAAGGATCAAACACGCCGACAGGGCTGTACCCAGATGATGGATGTATGCTCATAAACTATGTACATGGCACGAACTCGGGTCTGCGATGAGAGCGTGATGGAAAATATAGTTGAGGAAGAGGCAGAGAGAGGTCCGGATAGAGAGTATAATGAAGGAAGCAGAGGGGAGGAGGCCTGATGGTGGTGTGGAGAGTCCGAGGGACTGAGAGTCGGAGGGGGGTGGAGGACCAAAAAGACAGACAGACAGGAAAGCCGGGAGTGAGCCAGAGAAAGAGAGAGAGAAAAAAAAACAGAGATATGAAGAGTGTGAGTAAAAAGCGTAAGGAATAGCCCATGAACATAGCAAAACTAGCCAGTCAGGAAGAGAGTAGCGATGGGATGGAAAAAAGAGGGTAGACGGTAGGAAAGACATTTGCCATAACGTATGGAGGTTCACTTGCACCTAACCGTGGGCCATGGGATACTTCCTTTCACACTTACTCTGGAGTCTGGCCTGGTTCTCCATCCACCCATCCACCCATTCACTTCCATACGGATACACCTGCAAGACCTTGTCAAGACCCCTCCCCCTTCTAGACCTTTTAGCCCCCCCTCACCTCCCCGTCCCCTCGCCATATTTTGCAGCCCACGGCGGCGGTGCAGCTGTGGGTTTGTAGCAGAGAAATTCGTCGTGACGAAATACAGGACCAAACTTGGACCAAAGGCCATCCACTAGATCGCCCTGTATCGACGATAACCGCACTTGACGTATGAGCTAGAAGGGCACTTTCGGTGGTCTCCGATTAGGGCCGTCAGTTATTCAGGGCTGAGAATTGGCGAGGACCCTAGCGATCCGAAGGAAATAGCTCCCGAGGAGGTGGCTTGTCTCATCCCATACACCCACATGTGGCGACATGGCCCCCAGGGGCCGAGGGGCAGAGGGGCAGAGGGCAGAGCCTAGAAGGAGAGTATCGGGGAGGAGGAAAGTGAGGCAGCGGAATGGATCACGGCTACTGCTAGTGGCTTGCAGCCGGCGGTCGGTACGTTGAACTTGCTGAATGTATGATTAGTGAGAAGTGGGCGCGGAGCCGAAACCACCTGAACTGGGCCTGATCTGGAGCGGGCCTCACCTCAGTCATCGTTATTGGTTTCTTTCCTCGGGAGTTCCAAGTGACCACAGGTAACACTGGACAGTAAGGTATTCTCATGTCCACCCCTTGTCCGTAACTCTACCCTTCTTCCCTCGTCTCTTTTAGCGGACAAGTTTTGCGTTGCGTTCCAACCTTTCGCAGCGGAAACCATGGAAAAGGCAGGGTTCACGGACGAACCTCAGTCCAGTATCGGAATGATACGATACGACTTGGTCTGGAGTGTCAGTAGGCCGAGTACGGCACGTCTGCAAGGTAAATCCGCCGCGGTACAAGGCCCAGTCCCTCATCCCGTCCCAGGCCAATGGGGCATGGGGGCCATGGGGAGGGGCCTCGGGCAGAGACTGCAGAGCGACTGGTGTGGAAACCTGAGATTTTACCCATGAGTACCTGGGGCCAATCAAGCTCGGGTATGAAGATCATGAACGAGAGTGTTTGGCAGGAGAAGCAAGAGAATCCTGACGTCGGGCTCTTGTTTTGGCAGCGAGTGCGGTGCAGGGATCATGCCTGTTACTGTTTTGTCAAATCCCTGGTTCCCCACATGATGAACCTGGCATCCTATCCTTTCCAGCAGATCCGCTCTCGGGCTTCTTTTTTCTTGTTCGGCCGTTGTGCCAATGGCGAGAACAGGAGCGGCAGGCATAAAGTAGCACAGATGGAGGTACGTGCTCCTGGGTCGATGCGTACAGAAATGTCAGTTTTCAGATAGGCTGATGGCTCGGTGACGGAGGCAGCGGCGGCTGAGGAGGAGGAGAGATTGCCTTCGATCGCAGCTTGATTTAGCTAGCTGAGCTTGAGCTAAGGTAGCTTGGCTAGCTGCAGCATGCAGAGCACACACGGCTGGAGATCGGAGAAAATGCGTGAAAGGTTGCGGCGAGTGGATGACAGTTTGTTCGTCTCTCCATATGTCTTCTGTCTGTCTACGGAGTACAATCTGTCTGGCTGCGTTCCGGGAGGGCTGCAGGGGATTCAGGAGCGGAGGGTTGCCGAGAGGAGGGAGCCTCGGGACCATGTGGATGAGGGGGTCAGACGAAGAAGTTCCAGTCGCAGCTCCAGTTCCAGTTCCATTTCCAGTTTCCAGGCCAGTCCATTTGTTGATATCCTGAGGCGATCCATCGAAGAAATGGAATCTTCGGGCTGTCTGCCTAGGATAGCGAGTGGATTCAGATGTTTTGGACATGGTCGAGTGAGAGGAGTCAATCGCAGTTGCTGAGCAGCAGCAGTGACTGTGAGCACGAGCCGAACATGGAGAATGTCCACGCGACAGGCATCGCGTCTCCAAAATGGACGACACGATGCCGCACAGAAACCTTCTTGTGCCTAGGATGCAAAGGAGAGACAGAGACCAGATCACGCGGATATTACCAGACCAGAGACGCATCTCGAAAAGGGGGGAAGAGGTCATAGGTAGGCGTGCCCGTATTCAACAATTAAGGAGGGTATATGAGTGCGCCATGATGAAGCTGGGACGTCTTCAACATCGTTGACATTGTTGGTGGGCAGACGTTGTCGTGGTGGTGGTGGTAATGATGGTGATGGTGAGGGTGATGGTGAGGGTGATGGTTGCTGTTGCTGCCGTTGCTGGTGGTGGCACGGAGCAAGCACGTTTGAAGTTGACTTTGAGCTGCCCGGCGGCGCAATATGATTTGTCGCTGAGGTAAGCATCTGCAGGGGGTAGTCGAGGGGGGGTGGGAGGGGGTGCTGCACTGCAGCCTGCGGGTGTGTGGGTTGGTTGGTCTTGGCCTTGGTTTCTTCCTGTCCCGTTGTTCCGTTCCTGACGACAGTACGTACCCCTTGGGCTCGTCCTCTCTCTCTGCCTCTCTGTCTCTTGTGCGGCGTGCCGCGTGCCTCGTCAGACTCGATGATGGATGCACCAGTGTGTGGATGATTGTGTGTGTGGTGTCCTGCTGTAGTGCATGGTGCGGCGTGCCTTGCAGACTGCAGTGTTGGCACGTCGTCTACCTGCGAATATCCGTACTCTGCGCGTACTGAAGTTGTTCGTCCATAGCTCGTAGGTGCCTATCGTTCCATCCATCTATACTTTTCTTGAGTCTGAAAGTTACGAACGGATGGATGATGCGGATGATCATGATGGAAGTTCATCATTCTCTCATGCGTTCCATCTCTCAAATCAACTGGCCAAACTTTGCGTCCTATTCGGTGCCGAACACTCTCAACGTTCTCCGGTATCGATCCCGTCTTGTCCTGCGATATGCTCCCACTGGGCCCTCTAGGCCGCCTTCTCATCGTCTATCCAGTTGTTGCCATGCCTTTGATCTCATCCGACTCTCGCCTCGTTCTCACCCTGTAGCGTAGCGTAGCTTCCTCTCCATTCAGCGGGTCACTGGCCATGTCCAGGCGTTGGCAGTGACACATCGCGGTAGAATGAGAACCACGGTACGCCATACGGAAAACCTGTCGGGGACACTATCCTCTGGGCCTCTTGTACAGCGTGTCGAAATCCCACCCACTCGTTGCTGACTCGTGGTCGTGACTCGCTGAATTTGGGTCCAGCCTACTGCAAGTCCACCGGGGACGCGGGGGCTGTGCCAGGGGTTGAGCAGGGGCAGAAGCTGTCTCAGATCTGTCGCAGAACGACGCACCCTTGTCTCGCTTCAGCCCCTCGACTGGGTTGACCGTTGACCGCAGTCCTTCTCTTTGCGAGTCTGTCACTGTCGCCCTCATCCCCGCCGGGACGGCCTGCCTCTCGCATCTTTTGCTTTCTCCGCGCCTTTCGTATGTCGCTGGCCTGCCAGGCCTTCTCTCGACAATCTTGCCAGCTGCTAAAGGCAATCGATCGTGTTGGCTGTGAGGCACACAAACAAACGAAAATGTGCCGTCTCGTCTCGTGCAGTGTCCTGATAAGAGGGTCGCCAGTTTAGAGGTGCTCGAAAACGATGCTAGGCATCTTCGTGCAGCAATATCTCCCATCACCAAGCAAATGTTCTTCCCACATAGATCCGTAGTGCCTTGAACTTTAGTGATCCGTCGCCCGTCACCCCGTCTAAGATCGATCTGCCCAGCATCTGGATGCCCGCCTCGTCCCATTTGCTTCCATACATGGCCGGCTGGCCCTGCATCTGCCACACCACGCCTATAGCAGCTGCTGTCAACTGCTCTGCGGCTTCGTTCTAGCCCCGATCGCTTTCGTTTGCACTTGTACTTCTTTTGCGAAGGCCGTCAATCACCTGTGACACGCCTTGCTTGGTCCCAAATCAGACATGTGCGGCGCCGTCCGTGTGGTTTGTCCCCCATCTACTATTATTTCTTGAAAACTGTCCTCTTTGAGACTCTGCCAATACTTCAGCTTCGACGGAAATCAAATCAAGATGGACTCGAATTCAAATACGCCGCACAGATCATGGCGTTTGGGCTCTTGTATGAGACGTGAGACTTGTCCAGAACTGGTCATCTCAGGACGAAACCCAGTGTGAGCTCGACTGCAGTCGACCTGCTTAGACGTGGCTTTCTGTTCCGCCTGTCGTGACTTGTCCGCTTACTCAACCAATTTTTCTGGGTGCCGCAACCTAAACCTTTTTTTTCCCCTCTGACGTGCTTGCCTGCTGTATCCGTAGAGACAACTTCGGTTTGGCTGTCGCGCCAAGAGGGTTCACCGGGGCTGGCGATCCAACATGCCTGACTACGCGACTGGCTGTTCTTCCCCCTTCCCCTCACATTCAACCCGGGTTGCCATTCATTGACGCGCCTGTTTGTGAGCCGCGCCCACCTCGCCGCCAGCAGCCTGTGATTCGCTCCATCGTCTGCTCTAGTATGCACAGAGAGTTGCCCCTCTAGGCACCCATACTACCGCGATGAGCTGATGTGGATCATGACCATCAGGTTTGACAGCCATGGGTCGGGCTGAAAGCCGGCTGAAGACCAGCGTAAATGGGAAAAGGAACTTCTTGTTCCTGTAACCAAGAATCAGTGAAGAAAAGACCAATCATTCAGCAACTTACAGGCGACTTGGCGGCAATAACACGTGTCACGTTAATGCCTCTGGCCTTTGCTGCTCTATTCGTGTTGTTGGTGGAGAGTCGTTCATCCATATAATGGTCACCCGCTATAGCTCCTTCAACCATGGATGTCCTTGATAGAACCCATAATGCCCTCGCCTAAGACGGTCGCCAGCTCCCGCCATCGCTATCCAGATTGCGGGCGCGACTTGACGCCCGGGGACCGCCATCCGGCACGGATTGTACACGCGTAAAGTGGCTCCCCCCTTCCATCATTCGTCGCTAGGAAGAAGGCCGTGTGCTGTTAAAGCTTGTTGAGCGAATACGTTGGCGACAGTCTACCCGCCGTAAATATTGAGGTGGCGCTAACGACGCACATCGCTTGTCCGTCAAAAACTCTGTCGTAGGGCTCTGTGTGTTGTACAGCGTTAGTGAAACTTAGCGTTCACTTCCTCAGTCAGGCAACGGTCGCGGGTATCCATCTCGACGCCGTGGTACGCCGTAAAGCATCTCGACAAACGACACTTCCGTTAGATCAGACGTGCGAATCTGAGAGCAATCACATACGAGGCCGTCTTTGACAATTTTGTCTGTGCGAAAGTGCAACGTCTCGCGCCGGTGGCCTCCAAGAATCCCCCAGTATCCGCCGTCAGCTTCTACCGAGCCTTCGATGAGTTGTTCTGTGGATCCTCCGGGCTGGCCGCCGACAAGGAGTGGCTGTCTAGCTTGCATAACAACCTCGGACGTTTTGGGAAATTACGCCAACTCTCCAGCCGTGGCCGCTGTCTATAGCTCGGCTCTTATGGAGATCATAGACCAATGATGACGCGACTTTACCCCGCCATCGGTTGCTTGTCGACTGGACTCGATACTGAGAACCGGACATCAGGCGGATCATTGGGAGAGGCTGACAAGATTCCATCTGCAGCCGCAAGGGGAAAAGGGGCGGCGAACAGGGTAGCGATGAACTCTCTCCAGTACGCTATGTTAGTCGGCGTTTTATCAGTCTTATCGATGTGTTTGATGTTTACCATAGCCAGAACGATTCCAGCTCTCTGACGGGATGGCTAGGAAATGACGGGCTCGACAAGGTAGAAGTTCCGGCCGACGTTAGTGTAAGTTTAGCACCAACGATTGCAACGATGGAAATAGAAAGTTGGAGGTGACATAGACTGTGTTAGCCTTCGGTCTTGGACGCGCTGCTGCCACATCGTGACCCGGGCAAGTCTCGGTTTCTCAAAAAGAAAGCAATTAAGACAGAACCGCTTGCAGTGATCAAGGAGACAAAGATGGAATCGCGAAGCCGAAAAAACCTGCGCTACTTAGTCTACTGGTGCGAGGTGTTAGAATGGATCAACCTGGGAAGAAGATGAGTAAGGGTGAGGGGCTTAGAGAGCTAGGCGCCTGATGCCTACGGTTGGAGACTGACAACATATCGCCAGCTGCACCCGGCCAAGATAGCGCAAAATAGCCGATGGCAAGGCTTCGAATCGATTCTCATTGAATCCACAAAGGTGCCCATCCGAAGCTAGAGCTCAAAGTGATGGGCTTGGTATTTGATAGTGTGAAGTTGATTGATACGGTGGCACGGAAAACTCGTGACTGGCTATGCTAGTCTTTGTTGATTCTTCGCCAGACTTCTTGCTCGGCCGCAGCCAGACTGCCACCAGCAGCTTGCGCCCATTTCTTCGCAGTGTCCCATACTCCTTCTTCCGGTTGACTCTGATAGCCTTTCTCTGCCGATGATGCTACGGCAGCTTGGTGAGCAGCTCTTTGATGGCTACTGAATTCAGACGCACTAACGTCTTGCTGGTATCCTGGAGGGTGTTCAAGGCTGAGTGGAGGATCGCCTCCTAGTGGGACAGGTCGCGGCCCAGTCATCTGAGGTCCATTAGTAGTAGACGTGGAAGATCCTCGCAACGCCGCGTGTGACATGGTTGGAGGAGGGATACCCATTTGTGGAGGGTAAGAAACGGTGGCCGTAGTGGCGGGCGTTGGGGCTGGAGGCTGGTAGGTCTGGCCTGCCTTCGGCGGAGGAGGCAGAGTCGATGTGCCCGGGACCGGCACGGGGGCAGCACCTGGTTGGGGCGGCGGAGGACTGACATCATTCGTCTTCTGAGTTGGAGTTGGGCGCGGAGCAGGATATGCTTGTGCGGAAGCTGTCTGGACAGGGAAAGACGGGGCGGCACCAGGCTGTGCCGGCGGGTATGGCTGCTGGCGGGTGGATGATGGTGCGGGTGCGCCGACTTGACTTTGCGATGATTCGGCGACGTTATTGGAATGGTCCTTGGCTTGTGGTTCCTCGGTCTGCGGAGTGGCTCCCGATGCCTTGGAGGCGTTGATCGGAGTGTCCTTGAAGATGGGAATGGCAGGCATGGCTGATGATGATGCTTTTGGCCAAGGTATGAGAGGGGGGACTAAGCTGTGGGGTTTGGGCGCGGGCGAACAGTGGGAAATGTCTAGGCTGTTGGAGAGTTTTAGTTGAAATGGGCGAGATCGCGAGCGTCCTCGGTGAGATGTATCTGAAGTCGGCTCGGAGTCATGAAGCAAACGTGGCACAATGTGTGGTTTCCCATCTGGCAGGCGAAACCTTACGTGACGACGTCATTGCTTGGTGGTTGGGGCGATGTCAGGTGACTCAAGGTGAGCGAGTGCCTACCACTTTAGTAGTCAAATGCCTAGACCTAGAAGGTGAGCACGTAGGTAAGGTACCAGCTGCCTAAGGTAGACCTCATTGCTACCTTGAAAAGAGGAAGGGCGCATCGCCTTGGAAGGAAACAAGGTCGCCATCGTACCTAGGTGAACAAAGAGAAAGATAGACAATGGCCCTCTAGGCACCTTACACTAACGTCGATAGAGGAAGCTGCTGAACGTTGGAATCAAGTCGTAGAACCTGATGCAGCATCGCTTTCCAAAAGTCACATCCTGGTAAAGAAATGCAATTGCAACGCGGAAACTTTCAATAAGTCGAACGGCTCCCGCCAAGGCTTCCAGGAGATGCTGGTATCGAATCGTGTTGTTTGAAATCTTGATTCGGCGGAAGTCGTGTCAAGTTCATCCACTCAGTGATCGCTCATGCAAAACAAGCAACAGTTGAGCTGCAGAGCAGCAAGCAACCAAACATCCAAGGCCGAGTCCGAGCAACCCAGCTCATGACCAGTGGTTTGCTGCTTCTGGAGCCGCAAAATGGTCTGCCACCGCGTGGTGCTTGGACCCCCCTGAGTCGCGGATCTAAGCTTCTTTGGACGAGAGAACGGAATCGTATCGTTGATGACCTGACTTGACCTTAACTGTGCCCAACTGTGCACTCAATGCAAAGATCCCACAAGGATCGCCTAGCGGACGTCGTGCCAATGTGGTCAATAGAGCAGCTTTCACCAGACACACTTCGTGCCGCGCCAAGAAAAGTGGTTATGTCGTAGGGTAGAGTCGAGACGTGACATGCGACGTGTCGGCGGTGTTCTTTTGGGCATACACCGGGCGAAGAAGGCCCGACCTGACGATATTGAGGATATTACATAATATCTAGCATGTCCTCGGACTTTTGTACTTCCGTTCCTGCATGCTTAGCCACAGGTCTCTCACGTTCGTTCGGCGATAGCAATACCAGCCACACTTTTCTGCACGGGCCAGCGGGCTGCCAGGCGCGATGGTTGGCTGCATGTAGGAGGCTGAGAGCTATCCGAACCTTGAGGCTGGCGATTCTAACTGTTCTTCTGCTTGGAAACCCATAACACCAACGCCAGCTCGCTCTCTGGCTTCAATTCCGAGGAGTAAGCCGACATTATGGTAGGAAAAGTCAGCGAGAGGGTTCTCCTTCGGGAGGGTAAGTGAAAGTGGAATCCTTCAGCCTTGAGAGCGGCAAGCTGACCGTGTACCATAGGCCTGGAGAGAACCGACAATGGAATGAAGCAGACCAGCTGGCCAGACGTCACACCGATCAATCAGAAGAACTACTACACGTACGTACTCAACATCAGACTATCTCGCGTTAAATTCATTGTAGCGATGCTGACAATTGTCTGTTCAACAGGGATTATATGAAGCGCGATGACCAGATTCTCGCTTTGCGACTTCAAGGCGATGCCACCCGCGACAGGATCGTTCAAGCTGCTAAGGACAGAGATCGTGCTCTTGCGCAAAGCGGGCGCGCCGAGGTTCCTCTCGTTATACCCGAACTTCAACCTGACGAAGCACCTGCCGATGCGAATGCCGGCCTCGATCCTTCCAAAGTTATCGTCATTCACCCTGGCAGTCAAAACCTCCGAATTGGGTTCGCCAGCGACGCACTTCCAAAGTCCATCCCCATGACACTTGCGACAAAGTTCCCTCAAACCGAGGCGGAGATGCACGAAGCGCTGCCCCGGCGCCAATTCGAAGCAAAGACACAAGACCAACAATATGGCGAGGAGTGGTCAAAGAAGTATACCAAAATGTGCAGCGATCTCAAGTTGGAGATGCGCGCAAACAAGCGCAAGGTTCTACCTAACTCCAAGGAACTTGTCTTGAACTACAACCGCCGGACCGAGCCCGAAATTATTCAAACACACAACGACCCCCTACAAATCGACTGGACCGATATCAACAATCTCGACGACCCCAAATCATCCGCGTCTTGTTTCATCGGACATCAAGCGCAAAGAGTGCCAGACGATTCTCAACCTAAATTCAAGCTCTGGTGGCCCATTCAGCATGGGCACATGAACGAGGATGAGTACCTGAACGCTGAACACATGTTTGACGATCTCGAGACCCTCCTCGACAAGGCAATCAGACAGGAGCTTGGCCTGACCAAGAACAGCACCTGGAGACAGTACAGCTGCGTCTTCGTCATCCCAGACCTCTACGACAAGAAGTATGTGGAGCAGGTGCTTCGATCTTGCATGACATGGTTCGAGTTCAACCGGGTATGTTTCATTCAGGAAGGCATGGCTGCTACGTTCGGTGCGGGCTACACTCAGGCCTGCGTCGTCGATGTTGGTGCACAAAAGACATCCATCACCTGCGTTGAAGATGGCCTTTGTGTCGAAGACTCTCGGATTAACTTGAAGTACGGTGGCTACGATGTGACGGAGACATTTGTCAAGATGCTTCTTTACGACAACTTCCCCTATCAAGACATCAATCTCAGGAGGCGACATGACTTTCTTCTGGCTGAGGAGCTCAAGATGAAGCACTGCACGATGGCGCAAGCGGACATTTCTGTCCAGTTATATCAGTTCCATCTACGAGCTCCAAACCAACCGACGCACAAGTACCAATTCAAGACGTATGATGAGGTCATCCTAGCTCCCATGGGCTTCTATGATCCGGCCATTTTCGATAACAGCACCAAGATAAGAGGTCGGAGGAAGTTGCTTGACCGATCTTACAATGCATACGACGTGGATATCCCCGACGATCCGACATCAGCAGCCCAGTTTGGAATTCTGGCTCTCGTTAAACCATCATTGAATTCTGCGCCTACCAATGGCTTTACCCAATCGCAGAACGATGTATCGACGCCGGTAAAGGAAAGGCTACAACCGTTCGACTTCTTGAAGCGAGGCGAGAACGGCATCAACGGCACTCCATCTGGATCCAATGCTCCATCGCCGGCACCGGAGGGTGTCAGCACGCCTGTGGCAGCTCCCTTCGTGTTTGGCGGAAGCAAGGAGGGCGCCAACGGAGGAAGCCCCGCTCCCCCCGTGAGGAATGGCGGTACGCCGGGCCCGAACGGCACAGCTGTTCCACAGCCGCCCCCGGGCATGTTCGTTGACGCCTCGGCGCGCAGCGCCAAGGCCATAGCAATTGAGCGCGACGGCGTTCTGCCCACTGCACCTTTGGATCTTGCTATTCTGACCAGCATTTACAACGCAGCCAAGGGTGACGACAAGAAGCTGCGTGATTACCTGGGCAGTATCATGGTCATTGGAGGTGGTTCGAAGACGCCCCAGTTCACTGTTGTGCTAGAGGAGAAGCTCAAGGCACGGCGACCTGATCTCTTCGATCGCATTTTGGTCAGTCGAAGTGCCAGGGATATGGATGAGCAGGTTGTGACCTGGAAGGGGGCTAGCGTTTTCGCCAAACTCCCGGCCAACGACTCTTGGGTCACGCCGTTCGAGTTCGAACGACTGGGGGCTCGCGTGCTGCACCACAAGGTGCTCTGGTCATGGTAGATTGGAAGGACAACGGCAAAATATCTCAACGGAGGATGCGATCACGAGAAAGCAACGGAGTCGGGGAATGAACAATGGCACTCGGGAACTGGCATTCATGGAGGCAAAAGTCGTAAGGAACGTCTAGCAGCCACTGGCGTTTGGTGTCAAAACGAAAGACTACTTTCCGGAGTTAAACTTTTGGGGTATTGTGCGAAAATGTATCGAAGTATCCGTAGATTCGAGGCGATTGCCAGTCTCTCTCAATGACTTGATCTGAGTGAGCTACATAAACCTAAATGTAACATGCACTTACTGATCGTAATTGTCAATGTCGGCGGCCACGGGGTCCGCACTGTAGCGGGTGTCCGGCCGTATGTGTACCGGTAATAATGAGGCGGTCATGGCAAGCTTTGTCGTTCTGGAGTGTCATCGAGGGGCTTATGTAAGGCGGCTCGACCGGAGTTTAGAGCAGGGAGCTCAGGTCAATTCAGGTGTATGATGCTCACCCGACGTCCCGCACCGGCACTCACTACCGCAGGTGCGCAGCTACCCACCCACTTCTTACCTTTGGGTACTTCACGTCTCTCCCTTGTGATCAACAACAACAAACAAAACCGCCCGACGTTCCTAGCATCTCCTCCGCCCGCCGCGGGATGTAAGCTTGGAGCTGATCGGTGGTCTGCGGCAAACAACGAGGATCAACTCAATTGCTCGTCGAAACACCACGGCGCTCGACTTTTCCATCATGGCGATTCTCTCCCGATACCTGCCCTTCTCCGAGGCAACTACTACGCTGCAAGCAGTGACATACCTCCTCGGCATATCTCTCTTTTCCATTTCCTTCCTCGTCTTCCTCAACAGCAGCATATCCTTCGTTATTACCGATCTAATTGGCGTCAAGGATGGCGTCGGCGACATTGTCGGCACTCTCGGCTTCGTAGACGAGCTCGTTGCCCTCGTCGCATGTCCGGTCTGGGGTCTCGTCTCGGATCGGCTCGGTGTGAGATGGGTGGCAGTCATCGGGTATGCCGTCATCGGCGCAGCATTGCTTCTTTTCGTCCAGGCGAAGAATGTCTACCCGCAGCTCCTCCTGGCGCGCATCTTCTTCGCCATTGGCGCCACGGCGTCGTAAGTGACAAACAGAGGTCGAGAGCGGGCATTACATGCTAATATACTTCCCTCAGCGCCACCATGGTTACGGCCATCTTGCCCTCGTTGACGGACGATGGCGACAATTCCGACAGCTCCGCAGACGCTGCGAATAAACCGACGCATAACCCCCGCAACAGTGTGGCCATGTCCCTCGAGTCCGACATGACCATTACCCCGGCGCGGTTTCATGGTTTCGGCGGAGACGGACAAACCGCGACAGCGGGTGAGAGAGAAGAGGCAAAGGCTGGAAGGCCATCCTCATTGGCAGGCTACGTTGGGCTATTCACAGGATGCGGCGCGCTGGTTGCGCTTTCTCTGTTCCTCCCGCTTCCCGCCCGATTTGGGGAGATTGACGGCATCACGCCCGCTACGGCTGTCGCCGACAGTTTCTATGTGGTGGGCATTGTGGCGTTTGTGATCTCGGTGTTTGTCTTCTTTGGGTTGAGGAACCTCAAGGGCGAGGAAGGCAAGGGCTGGAGTGTCCTGTTGGGTTTGAAGACGAACTCGGACTCGGAAGACGAGTCTGACGAGAGCGGATCAGATCACCCAACACGGCCGGTACGTTATTTGGTACATGTTCCCGCAGAAATTGCTGACGATTTACAGAAGGTGCTTCCATACTTCCGCCTCCTGCGCGACTCCGTGACTCTCGGTTTCACGGATTCTCAGATCGCTCTGGGATACCTGGGCGGCTTTGTGGCTCGCGCATCCACTGTTGCCATTTCGCTCTTCATCCCCCTTTACATCAACACCTACTATATCAGTAACGGCTTCTGCCAGGGCTCCCCGCATGATCCCTCGCCAGAACTGAAGAAGGAGTGCCGGGCCGCCTATCTCCTCTCGTCAATCCTGACTGGCGTTGCTCAGCTATTTGGTCTCTTCGCCGCGCCTGCGTTCGGATACTTCAACAGAAGACGCGGCCGTATCAACTACCCCATTCTCCTTGCCACCGCTTTCGGTATTATCGGCTACATTATCCTGCCACAGTTGCAGAGCCCAGAATACAAGAACGTCGACGGCCGAGGCGGCAGCCCCGCCATTTTCCTAATTGTAATCCTGATCGGCATCAGCCAGATCGGTGCCATTGTCTGCAGTCTCGGGTTTCTTGGCCGTGGCGTTCTTACTGCAGACATCCCCAAGTCTCAGGTTATCGACACGGTCGAAGACTCGGCAGAAGCCATGGAGACTTCCCCGGAGTCTGCGCCTCTATTACAACACAATGCCAGCGTGGATGCCGTGTCGCGAGTGCGACTCAAGGGCTCCATCGCCGGCATGTACTCCTGGTTTGGAGGAGCAGCTATCTTGCTTCTTACCAAGCTAGGTGGCTACTTATTTGACACGGTGTCCAACGGCGCCCCGTTCTACATGATGGCTTCCTTCAATGCCATCCTCTTCTTTGCCAGTCTGGGCATTGATGCTGCTCGTTTTTACAGGGACAAGCAGTGATGGTATGAATTACGAAATACACGTATTATTACCTTGATGTATCATTATTCTGTCTGTGAACTATCTATTTATTTAAGAAACATACCTTTGCTGTGCTATCGTTTCCCATGAGCCCAACTATGTATCTAAACCTGCTTTTGTACAAATTGCAAATGTTACCTTCCGTTTCCTCGAAACCTGATGTTCTATCGTGCAGCCCGTCTCTCCGCGTCAAAAACTCCTGATTGGACCAAACCGTCTTCGTCTCCAGTCACTGTCTCCTCTACGATAGTTTCGAGACCACTGGCTACGCCGACCTCATCTTTTGCACGCTGTTGCTGCTCCTCTTCAGCGGCCCTCATAGCCTTCCGATCGCTCATCCGGATCCAGGGGCGAGAGCGGCGTTTGGTCCGTTAGAGTCTCTCCCAACCCTCATCTTCCTTCTTGCGGCGCTCCGATTCCGCCAGCTCCGGGGGCTTCGGCGCAACCATGTTGACGACACAGAAGCAACAGAAGCTGTAAATAAGTCTCTTTGCGAGCGAGGGTGGAGGAAACCGAGTGTTGCAGCTTTCCCCGGAACCGCTGCTCCAGAACCACTCGTCCACTCCGGCGGGTCTCTCGTGGTGGTACTCGTGATCTCCCGGAATCAACGGCTTGTATACGAAGTCGGCTGGGGTTTCGTCCATGGGACCTATGTTGTCAGTTGGTCGTTGGCGGGTGGTAGCAGCAGCAGAACCGGATGATGATGATTCTGACTCAGCCTCTGGCGCGGGGTTCCAATTTGGTTCGGCGAGTATCACCGTCGCGCGGCCCTCGTCGCCGCACTCGGAGCAGACGGAATGTGACGGGGATGGCGTGCGACGTCTGAGCTTGTTCGTGACGCGGCGGAGGCGGTGAGTGATGGCGGCAGACTTGCCGGGCTTTTTGCCTGCGTCATGGCGGGCTGGGATGCAGAGTGAGCATCTCTTGCTGACGGTCCAGGGACCTTTGGAGTCGTCGCAGTTGTGGATGTAAGGAGGCGTGTCCATTTCGAGGGGGCCGATACCGTGGTATCAAGGAGGCCTATGTAAGTAAGTATATCCGTCAAAGGCCAGCGAGCCGAGTATATCTTGAGGATGGTAGCCAAGTACAGCGGCTTTTACAGTATCTTGGATGGGGGTTCTCAAGTATTCCTATATATTCATCAATGCTCGCATGGGCCAAGAATTGTCTTCTACAACAAGCCCATCAAAGACGTTAAGGACAAATACATTCTTGAATGTTCGGTAACACAGTCACGGTATTACATACCCCTCTATGTTGAACAGGAACGTCGGTAGGTCAAGTCCTTTGTCTGAGGGCTTTGTGGGTTCTCCATGACTTTCACGAGGGACTGTGGTTTTAGGTCTAGATGTTCTTTCTCGGGATTGTGTGTTGAATGAATGGCACGTCTCTTTATTGTATCAGTAACATTTACCGGCTTGTATTAGAGCTCTATTCTGTCACAAGGTCTTCGCTATGTCGCGTTGTAGATCGCGTACTTTGTAGCATCTTCCTTTCTCTCATACTCTATATTCGAGGAATACAAAACAGAGATGCTGGAAGTTTGAAAAATGGGCTGATTCAGATACACCGTAGTATTGCGTATCTCTTCTCCAACCTTCAAGGAAATAGTAGCTCAGATTTACTTTTTCAGCCAATGCGTGTCGTTGCTACCAATCTTGTTGGTCAAAATTGGATCACGAAGAGCATATTAATAATTTGTTTTATGGATTTCCGAACTCAACACCTCCAGTAGCCTCTGGAGTCTTTTGGCCAATACCCAGACCTTGAGAATGTGACCGAGCCTAGGGATCGCCCGAGGAAAATCTGCCGTAACTTCCATAATCATAAGTAAGGTGTTTTTAAGCCACGCGGATGCCGCATGGGGTTTGTAAGATGTAATGAATTATACATGACATTTCCGTCTCCTAAGGTACTTGATACTCATAAGTCTAGCTGCAGGTGGCCCGAAACGGTGCTTCAACTGTATATTGAATACCCCCGCTTTCTCGGGATGACTGCATGGCACTTGAGACCATAAGCACAGGCTACCTACAGAACATGGCCTTTTCTGCTCATCGTTTTATGCTTTGCTTCGCACCGTGGTGAATACAGGCAAACACTTCCCTCGGCCCAGGGTTTCAGTGTAAGTTCGGGAACGGGTTTGCCACAATTGCCAGGAGCACCAGCATTCCGCCTCGCCGGTAGAGGCAACACCAGACAACAACATTGATTCCTTACTCAACAAAAGTTTCTGCCAACAAGCTTGCCCGTGACTGCCAGTATTAGGAACCTCAGATATCCATATCCAGCATGGTGTATGTTCAGGACGCATCATTGTAAGTCCAGCATGGGTTCAAACCCCAAAGAATCCGATTTTCCGAGTTGGTCGTCTTGAACACAAAAATGCAGGCTGCGGCTCTACTTCTTTGGTGTATAGCGTGATTCCCGAGGTCGTCAATATTCGCAAGTACTTCCTCGTTCGAGAGCTTGGCTTCGTTACCAATCGATCATAGCTTCAACACGTACTGCAAGGAGACGGAACATCCAAGACATCGGAAGGCGTACGGCCAATATGAGTGATGGCCTTATCGCCTGCCAGTATTTCTTGCCCTAAGATCTCTCGGGCTTTATACTCTCGGTCAGGTTGGCAGACATAAACGATGTACAGACTTAACGGCCGATGTTCACAATTCATCTAGCTCCAGGTCCTGAGTTGTCATTTTTGTGGCTTCATTTCCCGCACTGCTAAATAATGATAGCGTGTCGCTCTGGGTTACCTTTTCGTCAGGTCGTAGCGTATTCATGCTAGAACACACAACCGCAAAGCAGTGAGTAGGTGGAGGGCTATACGTATGAGCTGATGCTGGCTTGTTTCTTAATTTTGGGAATAGTTCCACGATTGCTACTCTTGGCGCCGGATGTGATACCCAATTTTTCCATCTACAAGATATCCAAGAGCTTGACGAGGTGTCCAACAGTCTCTATGGCCTGGAAGAAACACCCTTTCCGCCCTTCCTCGCAAGTGATATAAATAGGTACATCAATTCACATCACCTCCAGCCTCATCTGATAGTCGAACATGAAGTGGGCGCTCATGGCCCTCTCCGACCTAGCTCCAGGAACAGCTCAAACGTCGTCGATATCCCAACAGTCTAACTGGCTATAAGCACAAGAAACCTCACAGGACCCGACATCGTAGACCACCAACTCCTTTATCTAGTTGACGCACCTCAAGCTTTCCCGCGCGGTTGAATGATAGGACTCACTTTCCCTATGATCCGCCTCCAACTTATGACATGATCTCCTGAAGTGAGTGCACCTGACAACCAAAGAAGCACTGCCGCTGCCGCTGTCGCAGCCGATGTCAGCATCCATCAACCAGTCTCTGGTACAAAGACAAGCGAGCTCTCGTGTTCACAAGTTGATATGCCGAGCCCAAGCTCTTCCCAAAACATGAATATCGATAAAGATGAGTTGTCTCACGGAAAGTTAAGTAATGTGTCAAGAGCCAGGTAGCTACGCTTCCTGTAAGCCAAGTTCTGTGCTGATCCGTCGGCATCGAGTGGAAGCTACCAGGATGACAGTCCGTGGATGAAGCTACCCACAATGATAACCATCTACAACCAAAAATAGGCCGACTGATAATCGTACAATGTCGTCAAGATGAATATGATAGAGAGGCACAAGAGCTTTCTCGACATGTAATATCCCTTTCCACTTACCTCACTGTCACAAAGTAACATTTGATAGACACATGTCAACTACCAGCCATCAGGTAACACACGACAGTAGATGGGACATCTTTACTCTCTTCTTTGAAAAAACCAATGCAAACGAGACCATTTTTGACTTTTTTGAACGATACCGTCCATGAGTACCTAGATAGAAAAAAGCCTTTCATTTATCGTGCAACGACCAGAAATCAGCCGGCCCAGTCCTCGGAAACCTTGACGCAACCAATCCTTTCTGCAAATTTTCCCCGAAAACTGGTCCTTCCCTTCCGTTCTCCATCGTTGACTAGAGCCGGATATATGTGTCGGAGCACATTTTCTCAACCTATATGTGGGCGAATATAGGCGACCTTTGTGGGCGTGGGCATTTATTTGCCGCCGAGGCTGGGGAACGCAGACTCGTCCTTGGTGTTGATCTGCGCGCCCTGGGGACGGCCGCCGCGGGGGGCACCACCACGGGGGGCACCGCGGGCACCGTCGCCGCGTCCGCGACCGCCACGGTCACCACGGTCACCACCGCGGGCACCGCCACGGGGACCACCACGGCCACCACGGGGGCCGCCGGCACCGCCGCGGGAAGAGCGCTCGGGCTCGACGTAACGCTGGTCGATATCCAGGAGCTGCTTGGTCTTGCGCTCACGCTCGCGCTTGGTCTTGCCTCCGGTGCCGATCATGAAGTTCTCGTCATCATCGCGGGAGACCTCCTTGGCGGAAGCCCACTCCTTCTTGAGCTTGGTGCCCTCGTTGGCCTCGCGGACCTTGGTGTTGCCCTCGATGGCGAGCTTCTTCTCGGCAAGCTGGGCAAGGTACTCGGTGTAGGAGACCTGCTTCTCCTCGGGCTCCTCGGGCTCGAGGGGAGCGGCGGCCTCGGCCTCAGCATCCTTAGCCTCAGCCTGGGCAATGGCCTCGCCGGCAACCTCGTCCTTGCGCTCAGCCTCACCCTCGGTGGCGCCCCAAGACTGGGCAGCCTGCTTCTCGGAGCCGCTGCGACGAGTAAGTACGTGGAGTGTTATGCGTGAATCGGTTCAAATTACCTGGCGAGACCCTTAGACTGGCGGTCATCACGCTCACGGGGGAAACGTCCACCACGGCCTAATTGTATTTGTTAGTACGCGAATGGTTCCAACCTTTCTCCACGCATGCGGCGTCGGGGCATGGAGACGGCGGGACATCACGAACCTCCACGGGCGCGGGCACCGTAGCCGCCACGAGGGCCGCCTCTAGCAGGCTCGTCGGTGGTCTTGCCACGGTTGCGGTCGCTGCCAGCACCGCGGTCACGGAAGGCTATGGGCGAGAGAAGTCGTGTCAGCGGGTCAAGGTCCAAAGCGGGGTCTGCATTCCCGAGGTCTGCAAATTGATGATGGAGCAGACTCACCAGCCTCGTTGCCAGAGGCGTTGTTGCGACGGGCACCACCGGCAGCGGGGGCACGGGAAGGAGCCTCGGGCTCGACGCCGCGCTTGGTTGAGCGCAGAGAGTTCTTCTCAACCGTCTTCACGGGCGCCTGAGGAGTGTCATCCTCGGCATCGTTGCCTGTTGTGGGAAGTTAGGGCATTGGCTCAGAGGTACGATTCGTGGGGTCGTTCATTCGGGGACTCATACCGAGGAGCTCGAACAGGTTCTATTCAAGTAGGCTTGTTAGTTCCCATTGTCTTTGAAGCCCAGGGGCATGTATGGCAGGAGCGAAGCCAGAAAAAAAGTCGAGCAAAACAACATGGAGAAGGAGGCCGCCAGCAAGGGCGACAATGAGGCCGACGAGGTCAACGCACAAACACACAACAACTCAGTTGGCAAACAACTCGCACCAAAATAAAACGCAAAACGACATCGAGAATAGAGACAGAGGTTCAGCTTACCTTGCTTGCGACCGACATCTTGTCGCCTGGATTGTGGTGTACAATAGCGACCTAGTCTAGGATGATGATTGGGGTAAGAGACAAGGTTAGAACACCATGACCTGGCGGTGGTGGTGATGCTCAATGGGGGGGTATGGGACCAATTGGTGCCGGTGCTCTGGTGATGTTACGGATGGGACCTGAGGTGAAGAAACTGCGCACGATGGGGCCACTGGGATTCCGGGCGGGACAAATCACAGCACCACACACAGCGCAACAGAGGGAAGCGACGGGAAAGTACAGAGCAAATTAGGTCAGGCAGAAAGGGCACGCTGTGCTCACTTGGCCCAATGACAGCCCGGAAATGGCTTCAGCACGGGCATTGCACACGCTGGGAGCAGATCGCTGTGCCCTGTAGAGGGGGGGAGAGGGCACTGTCTTTCCGTCTTTTCCACCCAGCAAAGGGCAGTTTTGGTGTGAGATCATCGCTCTGCGTTCCCGGCTCGCTTAGCAATTCTTCCGACCTCCAATTTTGTGTGCCGTGCCTGCCAATTTCAGTGTGAACAACCTGCCGTGTTTAGGGTTCTAGACGCGCCGGCCTCTTTCCCCCCCCTCACCTCAGGTACCTTACGAAGTACCCTCTTACCTCACTTTTTGCCCATCACGCCGCCCAAACCTTGGTTCACCTTGCTAGCTTCCGTCTCGACGGCTTCGGCCAATCTGAGGTCCCGGTCTCCGGTCCCGAACGGTTTCCAGCATCATTCGACTCGGCCAAACTTCGCTCTAGCATAACGCAAGTTCCAGGTCCATGCTTCTTGCGCGAAAACCAAGAAAGTGAGGACCATTGTGAGAAAGAACAATCATGAAGGAGGGGCGGGATCCTCGGCACATCCTCTTCGTAAGGCAACCAATCGTCCCTTATCTTGTGCCAGCCGGCGCCCCCGGCTCCGAAACGGAAACCAAACCGAGCACCGAACTCTCTCATCCGTATTCGCTGCCGCTGTCGCTGTCGCTGTCGCTGCTGTTGCCGCTACTGCCAACAGTTCAACCGACATCGCCTGTTCCCAAGAATCCTAAGAGAGCATGACATGGTGCGGGGCAGGTTCGAAATGGTCAATGTAGGAGCTCGGTGCCCCTCTCTGCCCTGACCTCCCAGCTCTTGAAACCCAGCTCTCGGTGTCGAAGCACACACACGCACATCGTATTCACCCCGCTGCGAGATGCGAGCCAAGCCTCCTCGGTGGCTACCCGATGACGGCCAATACCATCTGAGCGCAGAGCTCCACAAAGCTGGGGAAGACGGCGAACTCAATCCCCATTGGGACTGCTGTCGACTCGAGCAACGCTTGCAGACAGACACACACCATCTCACAAGCTCACGGCTGCCATGCCAGTGTCTTTGGTGTGCACCACATGTCCCGATGACATTGTGACATGTAGATATGTCCCAACCTTGCTGTGATGTCAAGTCGTGTTACTCGCCGTGTAAGACGCAACCAGGCATATCAACCCGCCGTCGTGGTTCGGGTCATTCGAAACTTCCGATACAACATGACAGCATTCCTGAATACTGACGGTAACAACTGCGTATCTCCAAATCCTCCCTTGGGAAGATCGACAAACTAGTCGAAGTCCATCCTCTTAAGAACTTGGTTTGGTATTGAATCGCGTCCCACCCAAGGCTCTTGACGAACATCATGCCGTGACTCTTCGCATTACCTCCAAGCTGTGTGTGTGTGTGTGAGAGAGAGAGAGAGAGAGAGAGAAAGAAACCCTCGGCTCAAGAGGCATATCATGTTGTTTGAGGTATCACTGAAGCAACTCCGACAGATGATCATCTACGACAACACCAACCCCAGCAGCGGGATCTCAATACCGAGACATGGTCAGAGGAAGAAACCTCGTGTGTCTTTTGTCCTCGTCCGCATCTAGCGAGTCTTACAGCCAGTCACGGCCCGACCCAATCCAAGCTGCCGCTTCCAATTCATCGACAACGTACCCCTCACATACCATCCAACTCAAAGCTCCCAGCAACCCCAATACCACGTACATCGCTCCCAAACTCGAAGACAACAATACGATCCTTGAACCAAAAACATTGAACGACATCCCTCCATCCCTTACAGATCCTCAAGTCAAACACAAAAGAAATTGCCCAACATCAAAGAAAAATCAAAAAGAACGAGAGTTAATGGTGATCAGCTCTCGCGCAGTGCCAACACTGTGGATCGAACACAGGATCCCCGCATTACAAGTGCGATGCCTTACCACTTGGCCATGCTGGCGAGTTGTGCGATGCATCGGCGAATCCGCACGAGCCATCATGACTCCCTCCTCACAGCTAGGCACCCTCCCTCCGCAGGCGGGTCATCGCGTCCGACCTCACTTCAATGCCTGCGTTCATACTGAGAAACAGGTTTTCTTATTTCTTACTTCCCAGTTCCCAGGTTTTCGATCTGCGCTGACTAGCCACTGCTATCTCGATTGCTGGATCCCAAATAGGATACTCGAGACCACCTGGACCAAGTACTTTACCTCGGAATTTCATCAGTATCTAATTTACCCCGGTTTTAGCATCACGCCACGGGCTGACTAGCTTCCATCTCAAGCGCAAGATCTAGTTTCCGGTTTAACATACCACGCGCCTACCTCGGTCAGAAAATTGGCAAGACCCCAATATCATCTTCTTCAACGCCCAAAAGTTTTCCGAGAATGACACATGCCGGCAGCCGCGGTAGTGAAGGCAAGCGTGGCCGGATGTAAATGCTCGCTCTGAGAATCGGGCCCATATAGTATAGTATGCTGCCGTGGCTTCTCGAGTTGTCACCAGCTGTCGATAGTGTTATTGTGATTTTCAACCTTTTTGCAAAAGCATCGTGAATAGACATGAGTATGAACAAGAGCCGGGGCCCAGTGATATTGAGAAAACTAGCCATTAAATACCGATAAGGTTCAACCATCTAAAGAGTGTAAAGTTGCCACCAATGCCTTTTAAACTAAAAATCAAACTCCCCATCTATCACATCTACTCGTGAGCATTATCCCCGAGAGAGCGAGCCAAGCAAGCTCTCTAGTAGCCGGTGCCGAAGGAACCGCACTTGCTGGCCGCATAGGAGTTGCGGTTCTCAGAAAGGCAGTCGGTGTACTGGACAGTGCACTTGTTGATGGCGACGCTGAAGTTGTCCGAGAAGAACCAGCGCTTGGCGAACTCAGGTGCGCGGGCGTAGACGGCAGCGTCGTCGCGGCGGCCGCGGCGGTTGTTCCAGGTCTTGCAGCCCTGGGCGTAGGTGTTCTGGCAAGCGTTGTACTGCTCCTTGCAGGCATCCTGGCAGACGCTGGCGACGCTGCCGCGACCAAAGGACTTGCAGAGCTTGGTGTCGGCCTGAAGGTAGAGCTTGAACTGGTTGCCGGCCTTGAAGTCAATGGCGATATCGTTGCAGGTGACGATGGGGATCTCGATGCCACCGACGGGGTTGCCAGGGCCGTATCCGAACCACCAGCTGGAAGGCTGCTTGCAGACACCGGTAGGAGGAGGAGGAACAACGGTAACCGGGGTGGAGGTCGTGGTAGGCTTGGAGGGGCAAGGGAAGGTAGACACGGATGTGGTACCGGGCTTGTAGCCCTTGGGAGCCTTCTTGGCGAAGCAGTCCTTCTTGGAGCAGGATCCCTTGCCCTTGCAAGAGCTGGAGCAGTAGCTGCTGACGTCGCTGCACCAGGCCTTGAAGTCCATGCAGCTGGCAGAGCCGGGCCATCCAGCGTTCTTCAGGCAGGCACTGACCTGGAGCTTGCAGCTGTTGTGGGCCTTGGTGCAGCTGTCGTTGTCGTCAAAGTCGGGGAGGTTCTTGTTGCACCAGCTGCCGCAGCCGTACTCGCAAGTGGCGGGAGTGACAATGGTGGTAGTGCAGACAGCGGGAGCAGTGGTAGTGGCAATGGTAGTGGGAGGCTTGGATGTGGTGACGGGAGGCTGAGAAGTCGTGACAGGAGCAGTGGTGGTGGAAGGAGGAGCCTGGCTAGAGACGGTGGTGGAGGTGGTGGAGGTGGTGGAGGAAGTCGGGGGAATGCTGATGGACGGGATAGTGGCCGAAGTGCTGATGGAGATGGTGGAAGAAGACGAGACGGAGTTGACGGGAGGGACGTATCCGCAGGGCTCAAGAGACTTGAGCTTGCTGGCGACGTAGATCTCCATGACGGCAGAGCCACCGCAGTTCTTGGTGCTGTCGCCGTTGCAAGGCTTGTTGCACTTGTCCATGGTAGTGGCGGTGGTGTAGTTGCCCATCACGACACCGCAGTAGCACTCACCGCCGTACTCGACACCGGCGAAGGCATATCCCTCGCTGGCACAAGCGGCGAGACAGGTGGAGGGAGTCATGGTGGCAGAGTCAACAGAGTCCTGGCGCTCAGCAATGGTACGGCCGTGGTTGGTGTCGTCGGTGTAGCAGCCAATGGAGGTGTAGTCGTCGACGGTGGCACCGCCAGAGGGGAACGTGGGATCTTGCCAGACAGAGAAAGCCGAGGGACCACCGCAGGTCTCGGAGCTGTTGCCAGTGCACTTGTAACTGCAAACAGACTCGTCAAGGGTAGGGCTGTTGATGGTAGCGCTACAGTAGCAGACACCGTAGTAGGTGAGACCGGCGTAGCGGTATCCATTACCTGTCATCGTGTTAGGCTTTCGTGTCAAGTCTCAAGCATGGTCAGGACGGCTTACCCTTGCAGGCATCAACACATGTCTCGATGGTCATGTTCTGCTGGTTGAGGCTGGAGCGGAAGTCGAGGGCATTCTCGCCCTTGGTACCCTTCTCCTGGAAACATCCCTGGTAGGTGAAGGGTTGGAACTCGTCGAGGCAAGGCGGCAGCTCAGTGGTGGTCGCGGTGACCTGGTTAAAGAGGGTGGCAGCTGCAAGAGCAGCCAGGGCCCGGATGATGGGAGCCATTGTAAACGATGGTGTGTATTAGTTATTAGAAAGAATGTAGTATCTCTTTGCAAGAAACGAGTGTGCAAGAGTGAGCGAGTGTGTTCCCGGATTGGGTTGTGAGTGATGAGCTGGAAGAAAGACGGGGATGAGAGGTATCGAGGCCCATCATATATAGTGAAATTTGATCATAGCAGGAGCTCAAGATTGATTGATAGACATCCCGGCCGGCAGAGTCACAATCAGGGGAACAGCCTCAACGGGTGATGCAAGTAGCGGCCGATAGAGTGGTGTCAGGTTGGACGGGGGCAGAGCGCCACGACTAGAGGGTTAGTGCGATATCTAGAGTAAAGCATGGAAGATAGCCAGCGTGAACGGTGCCTTGGCAGACATTGTTTGGAACTGTTGGTTTGCATACACGTCTTTCACGGAAGCCACGGTGACGGAACGGTCACATCGAGCCCGTGATGCCAGGTCGTGAAAAGCTAGAATAGACTCGGCAAGGTGACAGAAGTGGGCGGCGCCTCGAGGGGAAGAGGGATACAAGTTTAGACAGCAACGTTAGGGGGGCGGCGGTCGGTGTGTCCTCACCTGCGCCAGTAGTCAGCTCTACGGACCCAAGTCAGCGAATGCCATGCTTCTTTGGGTCAAGAGGCAAGGGCCGAGATGCTGTGATGTTGGATTATCCGCCCAGTTGGGGCCGGACAGGTGCAAAAGGGCAAAGTCCAGGAGTCCGAGCAAAGGTAGCCCACGCCAGAAGTGGAATAGAGTTGAAAAGTGAAGAAAGAGACCAGACTCTTTTTGGATCGGCGGAAGTCGTCGGATGACGGTGGGAGGATTCATGGACACCTTACTGTGGTAAGGTACCTTAAGGTCGGTAGGTAGGTAGGTGCAAGTTTACAGGGCTTACCTTAAACCCACAAAGACTCAAAAGAGAGTCGCGAGGAAGGAAACAAAACAAAAACCGGGTAGCCCAGGCAGGAACCAGGGTGCCTCCCAATCGGGAAGGATGACGGCCCCATACCCGGGGCAAAAACCTAGTTCTATTGGCTGTAGCAAGTGTTAAGCTCAATTTGATCCCAGTTCATCCCGTCCAACAGGCGAACAGGGGGGTTTCCAAAGTCCGTACCTGCATTAGGCCGCTTTTCTGGTACTGCTAATCTCATCTCTCGCCCTCTTTGCCTTCCCTCCCGCCCTTCTTGGAGGCTTCGTAGTCCCGTCTCTTGGGCATCTGACCTTCCACCGCGTATTCCATTTGCCGCTTTCTCAAAAAGTGCCCTAAACAAGCTTGAGCTGGCCAGCTTTCCTAGTCTACAGCATGCTGTCAGATTCAATCTCCTTGGAATCACCTTTTCCAAGCACACATTAGCCACCGACGTCGAACGTGGCTTTTAGAATATGCTTCATCCTTCATGCAATCTGAATCAGGGGTAATCGGCTTTTGCTTTTGCTAAGAATATCTTTTTGTCATTCACTGCCTTCCAAGAACGACCAATCCAACGCCCAGAAGCCTCCATCGTCGACCGCGCTTCTTGACCTCACCACAAAGATACCTCACAGAGGCACTGACTCGGGCCGGGACCTCTCCTCTTCTCTTCTCGTCTCTGCGTCCCAGCGTCATTCTCATTTCCAGACGATGACCGTGGTGGACTGGACCCTCTTAGGTTCTTAGCAGCGCAAACTCCAAGCCCAACATCGTACCAGCAGTCTTTTGCTCGTGCGTCTAGGCCGGTCGACCTGTCAGGATCCGCACAGTCGCTCGCCGCTCGCTGCGCCCCTCTCAACTATGCATAATGCAGTCGGGTTGCAATATTGAAGTCTGCCCCTGGTTGACCAGAGACACTGACTAGGGCCTTGATAGGATCCTCCGTCTTTTTTTTTTTTTTTTTGGCTTCCGCAGTCGAAAACAATTCAGCCGCTGGCAGTGGGCACCGTCTCAGAGCACAGGGCAACTGCTGCAGGGCCTCGCAACATGCACCCGCTCGGCCAAAATATTGAACGTCGATGCAACGTTCCCGGCTTTTACACGAAAACACCATGAACCTCGGACGGAAATCCCGAAGTATGCTCTGGCATCTGCTCGCGCAGACTTCATGTTCCGTGCTTCTTATCCCTTATCCCTTCCAAGGTCTCGGGTCTCCGGCGTCGGTGCGTATAAACAAGTGTATCTCGGACACCTCAGCTGTCGATCGTATGCGGGGTGGTCTTGATCCAATATCGTGGTGCTTGAGATAGAGGACCGCAGATCAAGGGCACTCCCGCCAACAGGGGTCGGCTGCCTCCTCTACCTTGCTCGAGTTATTTATCGCTAGCAAGGCTGTCAGGCCTGCCAACATAAACCGCGCGGTGGACGACGAGACACAGACCTCTCAACTTCAGGTGAGTACAGTCGGGCCCTCAAATGGAAAGTCAACACAGAATACGAGTGAGCAGCGAATCCGAAGTGGAATCATCAAATCGGCCTTCCCAACGGCCGTAACAGAAGACGATGCCTTATTGCAAAGGATTGATTTGGTTTTTGTGTGTACATCCGATATTGCATGATTCAACGACCAACTGACTGAAGTCACCGTCGACAAACTGATAGTGGCCCAACGTCAGTGGACTGGCCTAATATTCACATCAACCCTCTATTTGGCTCTCATGATCTCTGTTACAGGGACTGCAGACTTGGGATGAGGGCGCCCTCTCTTTGAATGGCTGATCAAAAACCCACGGTGTCTGAACGTTCCGAGTGTATCCGTAAGCGGCCGAGAAAAGCGAGGTAACGAATCGCCTACGCCAGCAGCTCGACTCTTCCTCGTTCTGTTACCCCACACGAGCCACAGACAGGAACCGCGACACAGGGCTCTCCCAAGGCAACGGCTCCTTTGCACAATCAATAAGCTTATTGATAACCTCTTCGCAGTTCTTGCAAGTAAAGATCTAGGACGTTGGAAGGAGAGAGCTGCGCCCCATTCTCCCGTCGACGGCGCCGGCCCAAATGCCAATGCAACTGAACCATGCC